ATGCCGATTCAATATCCATCCACACCCAGCATCTAGACCCTAGTTGCCGTAGCCTCAAACACGATACCCTGCGCGCCCGAACCACAAAGCACCCTGAATTACCCTAAACCCATGAATTTGCACCAAGCCTTAAGTTGCGTCGTGTGTGTGTGTTTGTCTAGGGGACTCTCAAAATGTTTGTGTATTTTTTCCGTTGCCCTTTAACAAAAAGGACACACCCATATCCCTCAGCTTTGTCGCCATGCCTCGTCCCCCCGGCGACCCTATGTCAAGAGCTTGCATCTTGACCTTGCTGTCCAGAGTGACACGGAACTCCCGAAATTAGATTCATTTTTGGGAGGTGGCCCGCGTCGAAATTTCCGAGTACACGACGCCCCATCATCTTTTCGTGGAAGTTGAAAGGGAAACTACCTGCATCCTTTCATGTTTCCGTTGGTGCTTCACAGGTGTCTTGTTTTGGTTGAGCCGAATTTGGTTGATTTTGACCATAACCGATCAAAAAACCTCTGCCACTTTGGAGGCTACCAATCTTGAACACCCCATTCAACCACCCAAATGCCTTCCTACGGGTTGTGGCTCCGTTCCTTTGTTTTTGAAAGGCCATGGGCACCCTCAAAATCAGGCTACCCTTAGTTGGTGCTTTGGTTATACATGGGTTAAGCTGCTCCCGGCAGAAAAAAACCACCGGTTCGGCTCCGGCTCCAAACCAACAACGAGGGAAGGAGACCAAACAAATGGTGCTGTCTTCTTTTTTTAAGGGGACCCCTTGCGTTTGCTTGCAGGCATAGAACCCCACACAATCTCACTCCGTTGTATTGGCTCAAGGGCCCTTTCGACTTTCAAAAGTCATATTTTTTCGCGCTCTACAAGGTACTTATTATCTACAAGAGTCTTCACCAGGGATACGATGGCACATATGAGGAAAGGCACAAACGGAACCAAATCGTTCCTGAACAGGTGATTGACAGTTCCCATCACCATCCGCAAGTCGAGCACTTCGTCCCAATGGACACGACTATTCCACTGACAATGGGATGGAGCTGCACAGCACACACCGTGCAAAAAAGAGCACACCATCAAAGCCGACGCGATGAACAAGGAGATCATCACCATCCATATCGAGAAGAATGATGTCCAGGGCGAGTTGCCCAAGACTATGAACTATCCCGGTCAGGATTATGTACATCGTCACGTAACTCGAGCAGGACTTCCATTTGCAACGATTGGCGTGTTCCACATCCATCCAAGTCTGAGCTATGGATCCGTGGTAAAGGACTTTCAAGAACACATCCTGCCGCTTACCACAGAGTTGCAGTGTGACGCGATGACCGGAGATTGAAACAAATCCCTGAACAGCTTCAGCAAATATTAACCGGTCTATCATCCAGACAATGGTCTTCTCAACCATGCCATCAAGCTTTTCCAACAGACGCGGAATGACACCACTGCACGACCACCCATTGATTGCACCATGGATACTTCGGCCAACATGCAGTCCATGTGTTGCACACGAAGACTGGTTCCGACTATGATTGATTTTTTCCAGATTGTATGGTCACGTTCGTGTTTGGCCGGGGAAAGACAGAAGACCAGCAAGCACTCCAACAACAGGAGTACGACCGGAGATGTTCACAAACGCAAAAAGCGAAGCCGAATGGCGCCTCCCACTGTTCGTGTACATCCGCAGTCACTCCGAAGCGAAGCAGAGAAACATCCAGAAGACTAAGGAAATTTACAACAAGAAGAACACTTGGCATATTAATGCCATCAATCCTGGGTAGACTACTCTGGAACCGCATCAGACAGCAGCTGCAGACACCCGAAAGCGGCGCCACGACATCCCCGACCAATGAGGCTTTTCCATTGACCTCATCGACGACAAGACTATTCTTATTGCGATATCAACTGCTCGTTGTTTTCATGCAGTGAGAGAATCGAGAGTTTCACATCGGACAATTCTAATTCTGTCCTTGACTTTGTAGTGGATACCTCGCTGGTGGTTCCCCTTTAAAAACACAAAGACAAGGGGCATCCAAATGGGTCGCGCGCTCGTGCCAGGCTCTAGCTCGCGTGGTGCGGATGGCGCCCTTCTTCCGCGGCAAGCGATGCAGGCGGGACGGCGGGGCGGCCTTACGCTTTGAGGGCACCTGTCTTTGGCTCGTTTTTTCCCTCATTTTTTGAAAAAAAGAAAAACAAAAAACACATTCAAGTCAAGGGAAAGGACACGGAAAACCACGCGTTTTTTTTGGGGCCTGCGACTTTAGAGGCGCTCCGTGTCCATGTCAAGGAGCCACCGCCCTGCCCGTTGCCTCCCCATTTGAACGCCGCTCACGTGGATGTGTCTTAGATTGCGAGCCTCCGAGATGGCTGGTGTCCATGGGGTATCAATGGGGTTTAAGATGTGCTGAGGGTGTTCCAACTATTTAAACTAATCCTATATTGTTCCTGCCACGCCCCCCAAATTCCTTAAGCTGCTGTTGGGGTTCCAGGTCGGTCATGGGGGCCTTGTTTGGCTGGCTGTTGTGAGCAAATCAACAGGACACGTAAATGGCCATTCCACAGATTCGAAGGAGCAATGACCTTGTTCCGGGTATTTTGCCGCGATCCGTCTTTCCAGAAACGACAAAAACTGGTGGACACTAGACACAGGGGAACAGTTGAACGCTGCTCTCAGACAATCACATGCCTTCTCAAAAGAATGGGGAATGAAGTGCAACATTCTTAGCATTTTTGGGTCGCTTGGTTGAAGATGGATAGGTTCCGCTGGTTTCGGTGGGATTCTTTTCTATAGGACGCCAACGAAGCGGGGGGGTTGTCTTCAAGTTTGGGTCGCCTTGCTTTTTGGTTGGCCTTTCCAACCCAATCCAAAAGGGTCGACCCAATTCCCCAACTCGGCGTTCCTCTAATTTGTGGTTTGGAGGTGTTCCGGGGTGGCTTCCAATTTGCCTTCTGCAAGAACCAGGGCTTCAAATCCAACCCAAACCAACCCCAAACCACCTTTTCGGAGGGTTCCCTGACCAACCTTTTTGGGGTTAAACCAACCCAAACTACTAATCCAGGTTCCCTGACCGATTCCGTTTCGGAGGGTTGAATTCACCTTCCCCTGCAAGGAGGACCCCAGGGATCCCAGCCGAACCTCGCCAGCCGCCAGGTCGAAGAGCGTGAAGTTTGTGCTGCGCCCGAGCGTTGAGCAGCTGTCCGGGCCACAAAAAGCGGTCCGTTCCGGAGTTTTTGGGGCGCGACCGGTTGCCCCTTGGTTTTTGGGGATGGTGCAAAGGGAAACCATGACAAAGCTAAAAGGAAAGCGAGCGAGAGATAAACGGTTCCCCCTTTTGATGGTTTCAAGACCTAAAGGAAACTACCAATTGGAGACGGGGTCGGTTTACGAAAAGGACACCTGAAGGAAACCAGCCCGTTTTGGGTGCTCCCCAGGTTCTTTCATTTAGCTGAAGGGAACCATCCATGTTGGAAGGTTCCCCCACACAGACACAGACACACCGGGGGAATATGCTGCCACGCATTTGGACTCTTCCCACATGTCAAGACCTGGTAGAGACATCCGGGGCTGAAGGCTTTCGAGATGAACTTCGGGCTGGATGCTAACTGAGCCAGTCTCCCGTATATGCGTGTATGTCTCATCCCGGGCGACCCCCAAAATCGTCGGGTTTTTCCCTTTGGCTTCCTTCAGACCCAGCTGAAAAGCTGAGAGGCACCCACGGCACCCGCCACAAAATAGCCCCAAGATTTCCGTGTAAAGATTTGACCTCTGCAACCGCAGTGCAGGTTGACTCCAAATGGTGCGTGTTCCTCTTGGTTTCCCTTTGAATTACTGCAAGAAAGCACCATGACACAGCTTTGTCGCATTTTGCCTGGATGTTAGGACTGTAACTTTTTGCCAACTAGTGGGTTTTCCATTAAACCACCAGAAGTGCCAGGAGCACCAGGGACTCGTCACAGAAGCTGACCAAATCGCCAAATGGCGCATTGCCACAACAAAACTGCTCGGTTCATTCTGGTTGTACTTGATTCAGGCGCATAGGAAAGCTTATACTTGCATCCAGACAATTCAGAAGGGCGCCTCAACTACCTCGTCAGTCAGCCGACTCGACGAAAAAATTGAGCGTCTCTCTAACTGGGAAAGTAAGGCGGCCCATCCGGCCTATCAGCCGCTGCATCCGAGTTTGATCCGAGCTTTCGTGTGGGGTGACCAATATGGTCGCCTTTTGTGGCAGTGGTGGACAAGCCTTGTTTGGCCAAGCACGCCAGTTGATGATGACCCCGGCATCTCTCACTTTGAACTCTTGGTAAACTTTCAGTTAACCACCGGTGAATACATCCCGATGTGCCTCCAAAAAGGAAGTTTCATTAGATATGTCAGCCCGAGGCATGAACCTCAATTGCTTAGCGCTCTCGAGACTGAAGCCCGGGCAATCAAAGCCTTCGACAGCAGCCTCCGTCAGTTGACCAGCCTTGTAGGACGAGATGCTCCAGCAATCCCGTCCAGGGGATTTGTGAGGAGCATGCAGTTACTTGGTGACCGACGGCGCCCGCCCCGAGGTTTCTTGCAACGCCCAGTGATTCCAAAACAAAGTGAAACCATTGGCAAAATTTGTGACTTCCTTGAGCGTTTGCGACAGAACCCCCATCTTGGCTTTGAAAACTTTCATGATCCCTCCTTGGTTTGCTTCACCACGGTGCCTGATGCACCGGAGAGTGAAGAGCAGGCAAGACTGAGATTTCGCAGGTACCAGCTTTGGACTAAGAACCAGAGGACCCGTGGTGTGTTGTTCCCTTTGCATGCCTCGTTTCACCTTTGTCAGATGTCTCCGGCTGCACATGGCGGGCCGTCGAGGCAAGAGGATCGATCAAGCGTGCAATTAAACCACCAGAAGTTAAACTTGTAGCAGGGGAGCAGAAAGCACCATCAGACAGTACACCACCTGCTAAGGGTGAGGGAGCTGCACATGCTGCAAGACAGCCTCAAGGAGATAGTGCTGCATGACGACGCACCTGGCCTCAGCGCAAAAATGTTCGGGACGGCGTCCAAAAGAACTAAAGTGTCTCAAGATAGGGCTACCCCGGAAAAAGCTGGGTTTCCTTTTGTGGTGCCCCTGAAAACCAACGGTCCAAGACATGACACCCAAATGGTTCTGCAATTTAATAGGGAACCCCCTTCACGGTGGTTGGTGCACATGGATCCCCACCTAAATGATGTCCACCAAAGGCAATGCAATTGTAATAAAAGTACAATTTACAACTCATAGTATAATGAAGATGCAGCTGAAAAGGATCACATGAATATTCTTAAATTCTGACAAATGGAGAAAACTACTGCAGATGAAAGTTGTGAGACTTAATATAAAAGGGTCGCTAATTTAGATTCAGACCCACATCGCTTTCTGGATCTTTTGGGCGAAGCACCCCAAAGCACCATCTAGCGTGCGGCGCTCCAAGTTTCGTTTGGGGGGTGCAACCAGCTAGCCCCTGGTTGCCTTATACAGGAACGACGAAACCAGTGGGCCTATGATCAAACGGAATCACTGGACCTCCAATATATGTGACAGGAAAACATGGAGTTGAGGGAGGGAAGGAGATCCAAGACAGGCAACCGAAACCAGTGAGCCTATGATCAAATGGAACTGGAGTAAATGGATGAGGCTAGGTCCATCACTTTCACCCCACTCTAAGAACTTGGACCTGCACTTCAACGTGGAGGCCCTCGCCGATCCGCCCGGGGCCCGGGTCGGGTCTTCGGGGGTTCTCGGCCGTGGGGGTTTGGATGGGCTTTTTGGGGGACCTAACGGCAACTTGTTTTTGCTTTGGGCTTTTCTTAACTGGGGTTGGTTTCCAGGGAAGCCAAAAGGAAATCACCTTCGAGGTTCCCCAATTGGGTCAAAGCTCGGAAGACTTCTATCCAGTGGGCCCTAAGAAGTCCCCCCCCCCCTCCCACCTTTCAAACTTCCCCGGAATTAGCCCCCCCCCTTTTTTTATTTTCTTTTTTTAAGTCCCTGTGTTTTCCACTAACCACGCCAAACATATATCTTTGTTGGCCGGGGTCCTAATTCCAGCCTAGCAAATTGGTGGGTCTAAGATTTGAAGATCTTCTCAGGACTCGGGACGCAGCATGACTCCCATCTGAAGGGCCTGCGACCTGCGGCGCGCGTCTTGGTTTCCGGCGAAAGGACACCTATTTTTTTTTTGCTGTTTGCCAGGGTAGGTGTCCTTTTGGACGACGTTGGAGCAAACCTACCACTTTGGTGCCTCTGTGACGACGTTGTTGGAAGCATTTGCGGAGGGAGGTCTGAACTGATCCCGGAGGGTCAAAAGGCAACCACCAAGACCGTCCCTTACCTTCCAACCGTCATGGAAGTGAGGCTGCTTGTGTGGGTGTTTTTGCTCAACCCCTGAACGCCATCTTCGGCGGACACTCGCTTCCTGAGTCACTTTTTGGGAGGACCTTCTTAGTGGCAAGCAACAAGAGTGGTGACTTTTCTTGGCAGCCTTTGAGAAATTCCAAAGCTCGTTTGGAACACCATTGGATGTCCTGCGCATGGAGGGTAGGGGCAGCATGAGCAGTAGTTTGCCCCTATAGAAAAGACATGATTTAGTTCTAACAAGTGGGCAAGATCAGTTGTTTACCCCTATCAAAAAGTAGATTCAGTCTTAAAACGTCACCAACCAATTCTCATCATAAACGGCCTATGACTGGTCCAGCTTCGGGGCAGCTCCAGGTGGCAACCCCGGCATGCTGCTTCTCCTTGGTGCATCCTTTGTAAACCCAAGCCATCTTGGTTGGATCCGTCTCTTTTTGCCATGCATGCATTGGTAAACCCATATGGTCAAACCATCTTGCAGTTGATCTCCGAACTGTCAAACCCCCCATCTCTTTGGATCGCCAGGGACGGTTTTTGTTGGACCCATCTGACCAAAGAGACGGATCCACCTGGCAGCGAGGTGCCTGAACTAGCCGGGCCCGGCGAGCGCGGCACCCGAGGCCAGTGCTCCCAGCCCCTAAGGTCAGGGCTCCATAAAAGATACATTTGGCCCATTGGAAAAAAGGCTTTTTCCACCAAAACAATGGGACACCTCCATTTGCAAGGCAATGTTCAGGTGTATAATGTAAGGATCCCTGCTAAGGCGCTAGGTATGGCGCGGGGGGGGTCCCCTCGTGATCCAAAATGGGGATTTCAACCCCCAAATCTGGAGTTCGGTTTTGAAATGCGGTGTCCAAGCCTTGAAACCAAGCAAGAAACAACAGCGGAGCCTGAAGAAACAACACCCGAATGAGCTGACAAATGGACGGGTAGCTTCTTGATGGTTTGGGGAGGACGAGGCAACAGGGGGCTCACCCAATGCTCCCATGTCCTATTGGGAAAGAGGTCATTTTGTCCGGAGTGCAAATTTGTCCATTGAGGGGAGTGGAGGGGCGCACTACTCTTTCTTCAGCCATGAATTTTAAGGGGGAACCACCTCAAGCATGGATTTTGGGTGACAACTCCCGCATGGATATTGGGAATGTCCACCAACGGGTGAAACACCCAGACACGTAATGGCCATGTCTCACGAAAGGCAGGACAAAAGCCTTCCTAACTGAACCTGAAGCAGTAAAACTCACGGGAAGAGGACAGACGACTTGTTAAAGAGTGGCGGTGATTCGTGGAAGGCAGTTGTTGCTTCATGGAGCAAATGGATGCGACTTTTGTTGGTGAATTCCTTGTTCCATACGTGGAATTGATCAACCATCGGGCAAACGTACTACCCTGGGTTTTGATGTCGACTATGTCGACTCGACTCCTTTGGCACCATGGAAGGAGCAACACCCTGACTAGCATTCTGGTATCACAGGGCTCCTTATAAGATACATTTTGCCCATTTAAAACATGGCCTTTTCCACCAAAATAAAGGGAACCCACCATTTACAAGGCAATGTTCAGGTGTATAATGTAAGGATCCCTGTATCATTCATGACTCTTGGGTCTTCAAGCGAGCTCGGTTCTTGGTCACGCTCTGAGCCCTTGGTCCGGTCGAAGCAAACGCTTGTAGCAGCACCTGCAGATCGCTTTCGTGAACAACGGCCGGTGATTGAATCGAAATGGGCCTGGTTTTTTGCAGCTTCAGGGGGAGCCAAAGGGGCTGTCTCCAAAATAGGGCACTCTCAAAACATATCTTGATTTCCCATAAGCGTTCCTTTGTGGTTTCCCTTTACCACCAATATGGTGGTTCCCCCATTACAAGGGCACCACTGATAAAGGAACGCCCAAAAAGGCACCCGGCGCCGCGCTCGAGGCGAAGGCCGGTTTGAAGCAAACCGCCGGGCAGAACCCGTTGCATGCCTTCGGGCGCTGGCGGAACACAAGTCGCTTTGCCCAAAACCAATTCTAGCAAGCCAGCCAAGCAGTGCTAAACCGTGCCTGCCAAGTGCCCAGCAGCCAAGGTTTCAGGGTTTGTGTTAAAAGCTCCAACTGTAAGGCTTGAGTGCCAAGCAGTGCCTAGCAGCCAAGTCTTCAGGGTTTGTATTCAAAGCTCTCAGTTGGCCAGGCTTTTCAAACTGCCCAAGCAAGTCTGCCCCAACTGCAGCCAAGCAGTGCTACACAGTGCCAAGCAGCCAACCCAAGCAGCCGGTCAAGACAGACAGACAGCCTTCTTCCTGGGGAGTGGTTCCGCTTGGTTGGGTTGGTCGCTGAGTCAGGCAGCATCCCAAGCATCCCTAGCATCTCTAGCACCCCTAGGATGATCAGCATAACCATCCTTTCGTAGATTTGTGTAGGCTCAATTTCGGGTTGGTTTCTTCGAGGGTGCTGGATGGGTCTTTGTTGTGCTCGAAAAAGCCCAGCTGTGCGTTTGAGCCCTGCAAGCATCAAAAGTACCCTTCTGTTGATTTGCCTTCCAAGCTCGGGGTGGTTTTCGGGCCATTGGATCGGCCCTTGAAGCATCGAAGGAGAGACTCGATCAACTGCTCACGGCTTTTCGCTTTTCCCCGGTGATTCTCTGAGGGCGCATGAGTCGCTTGACTCGCCCGACGTTTGTAATGCTGGCCCCATATGAATAAACTGGGGGAGTTTATTAATAGGGGGGGTGTCCCTGGGTGAAATGTGGGCCCCTATTGGCAAACTAATAACTGGGGTTGATTCATATGGGGTCAACAGGGGGGGTGTAGGAGAACCCGGCGAAAAAGGGTTTGCTCCAAGCGACGTGTGCTGGACTGTGACCCGCGAATTGCTTGTCCGTGCCAGTCACCCTCGTTTTGGGGGCGAAAAGGCAGGACTCAATTCAGACACGGCAGGACAGGCAAGTGGCTAAGTGGCGTCAGGTTTGTTTGGCGTCGGACATTTCACCTGACCAACACCCGAGCAAGTTTCGCATGCAGTAGCTAGGAATTGCGACTCAAATTTTGGCTTTGTCAAAGGCAGGGCCTGCGCAAGCGGCGAGCGATAAACCCTGCTTGCATGATATTCGGGAAGCAGCAGAAAGGCAGAATGCTTTTCTCTGCGCTTGCACGGTGCAACTAAGTAACTACTCGCAATTTCTTGGCAGTTCAACTCAGGTGGCGTGCAGCGGCGTCACGCCGAGTCTTTTTTTTAAATGGCGCGAGTAGTTTTCTGCTCTGGGGAAGCACAAGAAGACCCCTCGCACAGCGACTGACGGCTCAGTATACCTCAAGGAGGTATACGGTGCAACAGTCCAGTATCTGAATTTTTCCGGACGCTCGAAGGGAACGCTTGGCCTGGAAAAAGGCCAGAAACCAATGTGCCGAAAATGGGGATCCTCCCAACAGTAATGGCAGCCATTTGGTTTGCTACACACCCAGAGGTTCCCTCATTTCGACGCATTCTCCAACTGGATACGAGAAAGAAGCTCGACTTGTGTTGGCTTTTCGCGTTCGCGCCGTGCATGCTCTAGTCTGGCCTCGTGCCGAGCTGGTTTCCACCCTCGCGCAAGCTTGCGCCGAGACGGGGTTGGGCAAGAGGGCCATGCCCGAAATGGGCGCAATGGCTTTTTCGCCGAGTCAGCACAGCTTTCCCAACCCGACCGCTCTATGGAGCATGTGGGATTCGGGGATGCGATCTGGGCCGGGAGCTATCCATGCGATCGACCGAGCCCTGCAAACCCCATCCCAGATACCGCCCACTTGACGTCCCGATGTTTTGTCGCGGCTTGGTACAGCACTTGCTGGTCCTTTGGCTACCAGCCCTGAGTCCAAAGTCTCTTGACTCGTTTGACCTCAGGGCGACCGGTCTCAACTTTGGGTACGGACCTGACCTGCAGGTTTCTTGGCATTCGGATCCCTTTTGCTTGGTCGAATCAGACGAATTGGCCACTGTGAGGTAGCTGACTGACAAGCAACGCTCTTCAAGATATGTTCTTCAGCCTGTTGCCTCCATTCTAACAACACAACCTCTCCAAGCAACAACCAATCGAGTTTTACGCGCACCCCTGAATCCATCAGAGGTCCTTGAACAGCATCTTCCTGTGTCGCTTTTTGAGCCCTTATCCAATAAGACAGCCGAAGGCTGGTGTGTCTGTGATGGCCACCCGAAACGCAAGCCCAACAGCATGGATATGTTCCTTCCAAGACTATGTCGCCAGTGTTTGCATCTACCCAATCTTGCAGAGACTGGGGCTTGGAGTCAATCTGCGGCTATCCGACTATCCGAGTAGCCGGCGTCTAGACCTCAGTGAAAGTGCTGGAGGGGAAACGTTTCATGAGCCCTTTTGGCCCTCAAATTCACGCTCTTGCTGAACGTAGCTCGTGTCATGCCTGGCATTTGGCCACTAGCCCACTCACGCCAAGTTGGGTATGTCGAGTATGTGTCCAAAATGGCTACCCCAGCAAATGGGCAGGTTTTCCTTTTGGCTTCCCTTCATGTCTTCATATGTCAATATTTCGTTTCAAAGCACTCACCTGGTTTCCCTTGAACACCTTGAAACCCAGTTCTGCCCTAATCTGTCTTCTCGTTTCACCCGCATGTTCGACCCAGACATTCGATCGACCCACAGACATAAGACCGACATTCGGCCTAAAGCGCCAGGCATGGCTCTTCCCTTGTGAAGCCCAGAAGCCCACAGTGGCCGACCGGAAAAAAAGAAGAAGCCATGGCGCGCGTTCGCGTAAACGCCCGTGGAAGTCCCGCCCACGCGCCCAGTCTGGCGAGGCCGGAACTGACGTTTTTTTTTTGAGTCGGTGAGATGTTTCAACGAGTTGGGCTTTGGAGTTGAAGGGCAACTGTCGATTTTCTCAGCTCTCAAAAGTATGGTTTGTCACAAAAGGGGCTCGCTTAGACCAAGCTCGAAAAGTGCCCCTCAGTTCCTTCCACTCACCTCGGCTGAGGAGTCGTGTCATACCCCTGGAATCGGGTGGGGGGGGTGGGGGGGGTGGGGGGTTGTTTGTTTGTGACTCCCTCCGTGTTCAAGTGGAAACGATTCAGCGGACATCCGGGATAAAGGCAGAGAGACCTGGGTGAAAGAATGCCCCATGTCGCAGATCAAAGCATCCCGAGCTGCACCGACATACCGACTCCGTGCGGCGCTTGTAAGGCCCACCCCCTCTCAGTTTTCCAGATTTTTGTGCACCGAGTGTCGGGATTTCTCGGCCGCAGCTTCACTTAAGCAAGCGCCGTGGCGTTTTCTCCGCGCGGGGGCCCTTCGGCCCGAGGCAGGCTGCGGATGCTTGGGACTGAGCCGCCCGAGAGCAACCGCTCATCCAAAAGTGGACACAACTCGGGACCCATCGAATTTTGATGTCCACCAAAGGTCCCTGTCTTGGGTCGATTTGGGAGGAATAGTGGGGAACTCATTCATGCTCCAGGGTTCTTTGAGGGTAGCAGCGTACATTGACCGGGGAAAGGGCCGCGAAAGGAAGCCACTGAGGGGTCACCAGTCGAAAGGAGCATCCCACTTTTTTCTCAAGATGGAAGCCCAACAAAAGTGGCTGGCTTTGCAGATCCGCGTTTGCCTCACTGTACCCAAAGGCTTTAAACGGATCAGGCAAGTTGGAAGCGAGCTTGCCAAGCTTGCAATGCCTCGTAATGTTGGCGGATTAAAGCGCCCCTGGCTGATAGGGAGTGTTGCATTTTAGATACGACCCTTGACTTTTTGGGGTACCCCCCCGCAATAATCCAATCAGGTTGATGCATGCGGTTGGCAATAAGCGAGCCGAGGGACAATGGAGCAGAATGCCGTTGGAGCCATGGCCACTTTCAGGGAATGAAGCAACCTAAAGGAAAGCCACTTTTGGACGCTACTGCCATGGTTCCAAAGTGGGCAACCCAATATTCTCCTAAAGCTCCGACTGGGAGCCCCCTCTATTGCGATGTTAATGTGTAGGGGAGCAGTGGTCGGTCGAAACGGTCACACTCTTTCCATCCACGGAGTCTCCGTGGATACAAGTCAGGTGGTTTGGAAGGACGTCTGCTGAAACGTGCATTAGAAGTATTGCGAACAGAAAGAATGAGCTTTCTGAAATGGAATGGCTCAATGGCAGTTCCAGGCATTGAGTTTGAGGGAGTTCAAGCTCAGGTTCCTCCACCACAAGCTGCAGTATTTCGCGGTTATCACAGTTATCACCTAAGGACCCCTAAGGACGCCTAAGAACCCCTAAGGCCCGGTAAGGGACACCTAAGGAGGGGTCCTTCACACTTTGGCTCGGATCGAGCCAGGCTCGCGGAATGGAGAATCTCACGACGGGCGCGGGCTCCCAAAAGAGCAGAGGGAGCGGATTGGAGGCCAAACAGTCATGTGGAGGTTGGTCAATATCCCGTTCGGCCCCCAAAAGACCATGGGTCACGGTGGTCAGCGGGAAATATCCGGATTTTTGGTCGGTTCCCTCAATGGTCATCCCATGTAAAAAACACCTTTTGATCAACCCATGTAGATACATATATACAGAAGCACAGGTCCCGATACGGACGGAGCATGCTTTCTCTTGCTTGACCTTCGGAAGAATCTCAATGACTGCATACCAAGCTGAGCCACCGTGCAAGACAGTGTATCATGTGCCAAATGCAAAGCACTTGGCAAGCATGGCGGTATTTTGGGGAAGCTGCTGCATTCCTGGCCATGCTCGCACAGGAAACATGAGTGACTCCAGAGTTTGAAGGCTTCCTTTTTCTTGGGGAAAGGGGGACCTTTTTCATTGTGTACTCACCAGGGAGCTGAACAATTTGAGACTCGCTCGTTGGCCATTTTGGGACGTGTAAAAAAACAACGGCTGCTTTCGCGGTCACCGGATCTGTTTGGCCCAAGGCCGCTGGATTTGATTCAGACTTGGGCCAGGGGGATGGTTGGGGGAACCGAAAGGCCCCAGCCTTTGACGAAGCCCTTTGGTGCCAAGGGATCGGGTTGCCAAGAAGGAAAAGCGGTGGGGGGGGGCAGAACCCTCGTTTTTGGGCAGGAAAAAGGAGCCAACAGGACACGACACCGCTCGCTCCTTCTTCTCTCGGGCGGGGCTGGGTTTTCAGTGAGGTGCTGTCCTGAAGGACAAGTTGACGGGTATCGCCACGGACTTGATGAGCAAGGCATACGGGATACGGGTGCCTAGAAGCTGAGGGATATTGCTTGGTGCGATAGGGAATGACCGAGTCCGGGTGTTGGGAATGAGCCGGAAGGGGATTCCCTGAAAGGACACCATAGGCTGAATCCAACTCATTCCCGCCACCTTTGCATAGAATTCAAATTGACATCTGCCACGATTTCATTGGGAGAGTCCCCTACCCCCCCTTTTTAGCTTTGAGGGTTGTGCTGCAAACTTTTCGAGCCTGTTCCCTCCCTCTGAAGACGATGTCCTCGGGTGTCTCTGCAATTCCATGTTTGTTAATTTCCTGGAAAACAATGCAGGAGCCCGAAGGACCTTTTGCTACCGGGGCCAACCTCATTTTGAAACACCAGGTACATGTGTATGAAAGACCGGAAATGGGGAAAGGTGGGTGTTCAGGCGAGGGCAAACCATGTGAGCAGTCTATTGTTCGCTTGGGGAGGACATAGGTGGCCAAGGTTAATTTGCCAAGCCTGGGGTCCCATCCGATTTGTCCCATATCCTCTTGAGAAAACTGGATTTTGGGGGACACTTATTGACAAAGTCGCAACCACCACAGCTAGAGGGTTTGGTGAAGAAACGGGTGCTTTTGTCCGGGGCTCATGCTGCTTCCCTCCGGTGAATGAGACAGCTGGGTTGCCCTCAACAGTGTCTCCCATCTGCGGGCTAATCCAAAAGGGCGCCAGCGTCAGAGCGTTCCATGATAACTAGATTCATGGCTCCACGGCTCTTGCTGCGTGAACCATTCCAACAAACAAGCCTTGTTGTTTTGACCTTACAACCCAATAACCCTGGCCTGGTCCAAGCAAGCCCTTTTGCCTGGTTTACGAGTCCTGCAATTCTTTACGCGTTGGTGTATGTCCCAAACAAACCAGTTCTCCTCTCATGCAGGTATCTACCTATGCATGTACGTATGTACGTGTGGACACGCACGGGTTCATGCTCCCCCCAAAAAAACAGAGCATGTCAGTCACCCTGAGAGTGTGCGTCTTTGTGCTTTGATAGTTCGTGTTCAGAGACAAAAACAAAACCACAAGACAAAGCATGGCAAACGACAACGTACAAACAAAAAACCATGCCCCCCAAGTCAGGGCATGTGACGCAGTCCTGTTTTGGTCCTTGTTTGTTTTCTCCAGGTTTGTGTTCGGGCAACAAAAAGCGAGAAAGCGAAAAAAAAAAGAAAAAAGAAAAAAAAAACACAAAGCCAGCAAGACAAGACTGTGCCAAGTCAGAGCTGACATAGTTTTTTGCAATAGTTGTTTTGATGATTCACTGATTGAATCATGGCGACCATCGTGGTCAAGCTGCTTGAAGCGTGGCTGAAATTGCTCACGGGCCTTGGCATGTTGGCCTGGCACGTGCAGAAGGTTGCGGTGATGAGGAATGGGCATGCTCTGTACGCCACCTGGATTGTCAGTAGTGGTTTATGTGGAGAAACGCTTTCAAAGCGGGCGTTTAGATCGAGCACGTTGGGCTGTGCAGAGGTGTGCTAATTGTTTTGACAACTGGAAGGCTCCTCAGGTGTGCCCCGGTCAGGACTGTTTTGACGTTGTTTGGTCAGGTTACGCAAAAGCTCTGGAGCATGTGGTGCACGTCGCGTGCACATGTACAGAAATACACAGACATACATACCCAGATAACATATACATATAAACATACTTCTGTACATATGCTAAGAGAAAATGCACATACATATATACATACGTTTGCTTATCTGGGCAAGGGGACACGACTTCACTCCCCTCTTGGCAACCCGATCCAGATGGAGGCTCCTTGCCCTGGGCTTCCTTGTTTCTGGCGTGCGTGTGTTTCGTGTTTCTCGTTGTTGCTCACTGGTGAACACAGATTTAATAGATTGACATATAATATATACATATAGATGTATATGCTAGCTCCAGCCGTTTTGCTTGATTTGAGTGAGCAGGCTGTAGTGTATTTGACTATTTGCTTGGTTTGAACAGAGAGGCTGTAGTGTCGAACCTATTCTTGTAGCAAACTTACGCAGAGACACGCAGGTTTGCAGTCCATCATGTGCATTTCATCTAGTGGATTCAATCAGAATGTCCTTTTCATGTTATACATTGAATAATGACCGCTCGATTTCAAACTAATTGTTACACAGGATCTCCTTCCACTAGATTTTTTCTTTGCGCATCAGCTAACCTTCTGCAAGCCTAGTTCACCTCGAATCTCCATTCACATGTGAGGCTCACAGCATCCCGCACACCAAACCAGGGGGGGTCCACACAGCTCCGAAGAAAGCCGCGTTTCAAAGCCCCAAACCCCCCGCCGCTGGCCACCCGCCGACGCTTGCCTCCAGGTGGACCATGCAGTGGAGAGCCTCGGCAAGACCAAGCCCACGGAGGACGCACCCATCACCTTCAAGGCCACAGCCGTCGGCGGCGAAAGCCACAGCCGTCCCCCCCGGCGGGGGCGGGGGTGGGGATTTTGAAGGGAAGCGGTGGGAGGCTTTGTCCCCTCCCCGCTACTGAGTTTTGGTAAGTTTGGTGTGTCTCTGGTGGTGGCAGTAACCACCCTTTGGACATGCCCAATGGATCCCAGTCAGCCTTCCGGTGGGTAACCAGTTATTTGTTCTCTTGGTTTTTATATCGGCTGGTTCCCTTAGTTACCTGCAAAACCAGGTCCATGGATTCACTGGGACCCCTTCCCAGCCCCTCGGCCCAACCCGCCCATCGGCCCACCCGCTGCCACACGTCGATCCGTCAGGTGGTGCACCGAGGCGGCGCGCTCGTGCGCAGTGGCTACGAGACAACCTCGGCCCAGGCGCCGCGGGTTGGCGTTGGAATGTGTTGGGCGTCGTTGGGTGTTGGTCACGCCGAAGCTACTGGAATTTGAGGGAGCCAAGATCTAGCAAAGCGGCAACCATGGGGTTCACCAAGAATGGGGTTTGCAAAGAATGGGGTTTTCCCATAATTTAATTTAAGATCCACCACAAGATTGGGGGTTTATCCACAAAAGTTTTCGATGTTTTGGCAACCCAGATTTCCCTTTGGTGGCAAGAGATTAGTGGAACTGGGGCACACTCCGTTTGCCCCCCGAGGTAGTTGGGTCTAGGAGCCTAGGGCTTGCTCTTTTGTCAGCGGCCCCGCTTCCCATGTCTGCAAAAAGATTGATGGGCGGACTTGACGCACTTGAAGCTATTCACCTTCTATGCCGTTTCTGTTTGTCGGAGTCGCCGAACCTCAAGACACACGACCTCTTCGGACCTCCAAGTTCTCCAGCGGGGCCGCTCTACCGTCGACATTGTCCACCATCGATAGGTTTGGGTGACGGACCCACGTGGGTGTGTCTTCTTCAATTGAACTTGAGGACATCATTTGATGAACCGATATGCATTGGAGTTGTGTTTAATCTTTCAAACCATTTTGTCGTGAAATTATAGTGGTGGTAAACCATTCGTAGTTATTTGCCTCCGTTCTTTCTTGACTATGAATCCGACCCCCCACAAATGGACGCGTCCAACCGCACCAAAATGTTTCAACAAACATGTGTTCCTTTGGGCCTCAATAGCCAAGTTGCTGCTTTTTTCAGTCACTGTCGCTGGATTTTGGGGTAAGGTGCATGGAAAATACAGCAGCAACTGGCGATCCAAGGTTTCCTTTTCCGCCCCCCGACCTGGAACTTGGGGCGATTCAGGGCGAAAAAAGGCTGCCGCCAGGTGCACCAGCTCTCTGAGGGGGAGATCGCCACAGTGGTGGAGCAAGCAGGCGCGGTCTGGGGGCGCTTTGGGGGGGGGGTTTGGGGGGGGGGAGGCAACTGAGGTCCACTGACACTTATATCTTCAGAGGGAGTGAGTTGATGTCGTTTTTTGGAGAGGGTGGGTCAGGAGCCTGTTTGTTGTCAACATCCAAATCCGGGATGGTGGCAGGTTCAACTGCAAAGTGCAAAGCTTGGGTGGGACACACTAAGCATGCAGCCCCTGTAAGAAAGATCCTTCCACGTGGAATGAAGGCACGTGGTGGTTGAACATTGGTAACCATGTGGTCAGGATGACGCCAGGATCCCCCCACCGCGGATTGGTCGTCGGTGATGGTGTGGGAGCTGCAACCCCCTCCCCCCCATTCTCTATTTCAGCAATCCCCCCCAATGGGTGGACAACAAATGTAAGTAAACAACGAAAGCCCAATCCGGTTTGAACAGAAACAACAAGGAGGTTGTTGCGGTTCGCATGGTTGAAACCATGGGCGAGCCCGGCACCACCTCCGATCCTGACTCGTTTTTCGTCGGAGAACCGGTATCGATGTTTCCAGCCCCGCTATGCAGCACCCAGATTTGCCCCTAGCTGTATCCATGGACTTCTAGAGGGAAGTCCCTAAAAACCCGGCTCTTTAGTGATGTCCAGGTCCTGGGTTGCCCACGCCTTCAAGGACAGTCCAACGACCCCTTGTCAGGCCCCTTTGTCCCTTTGGGGCCATTGAAGCTGTTTTCTTAGGCTGCCCTTTTTTGTTGGTTTAGTTTTTTGAAGGGAGACCAAAAGGAGCACCACCAAAAACGGGGGGGTCCAACCTAAGAGAAGACACCACCAAATTCGGAAAAAAGAAAAAACTCATGTCTGGTGGTTGGTTTTCTAACGAAAACCCCAGGAACACCCTGAAAGTGCCGGGTGTTCCGAACCAAAACACCCCAAGGAACACCGGAAGTTGCACCGTAGTTTACAAAAAAAACAAAAAACAAGAAACGAACCAGCCCAAGGGACCACCCCACGTTTTTGCCCTTTCGCCGGGGGCCTCCGATGCCCCGCCAAGAGAAAACCCACCGAGCCGGGCAATGCGTTGGGCTCCCAGGGCGGCGGGTGCGCATCATCAGCCCGGTGGAGGGCTGGGTCTCCGTGGAGACGAGGGACCGAGCCAGCGAGGGACATGGACCTGGCGGGTGGGACCTTTGGGGTAGACCAAAAGGAAACGCGGGTGCGGTTCCCTTTTTTTCTTCTTTTTTTCTTTTCTGGTTTTCGGGGTAGACCAACAGGAAAGCCAAGGAAAAATGGGGGGGGGGGGGCCCTTGTTTTTGATCACTCGCTGGTATTTGGAGGGTATTTTTGAGGTCATTCCAATGGGACCCAGTTGTGGCTCGATTGTCAGTTCGGGCACCTGGTGACCGTGGCTCATCTCACTCGTCCACTGAGCGGTTTGTGCATTTTCAGTTCGCGCGGAAGTTATGATACAGTGGATGGGCGAAATCCTGCACCACAGAAGAAACTGTTGATTCCCCTGAAAATGCCAACAAACAATGGTGTCTCATGGTGGCTTAGGTGGTGCAGGATTTCGTCCATCCACAGTAGCACGGTTTGATCCGGTGTAGCATCCGAACGGTCCGAGTTACTGGGATGCCACCGCATTTGGCATGCACGTTCATTTGCTCGCAGGGGATGTTTTCCTCTGTCCCATCGTGGAAGTGGACAAGAGGTTTTTGGGAGGACTAACTCCCTCTGGAAAACGGCTGGAGCCTCATCCAGCGGTCCGCTCCCCACATGTATTTTACTCCTCCCCTGATTCCTGCGAGGACGGAGTGACCATCATGCGGCCAACCGCCATTCAGCGAAGAGGGTACAAGAAGGAGGCCTTTGAAAGTCACTTCGACGCTCGGCTGGAGGATTTGGTTTGGGCGGAACAACTCGAGGGGTATGGGTGTCTGGCGATGAACACTTGTGACGTTGAGAAGAAGGTCCCACCGCGACAGGTCAGCGAAAAAGGGTGAGGATGACTGGACCAGATTCTGCAGTGGGCGGCTGATTCTTTGTGCATTGGCGGCATAGGGCATAGGGCACCCAAGGGGGAGTCGTTGAATTGTGCTGAACAAAATACCTGTTGACTCTAGGACATGCGGCCCAGAGGCTTGTCCACACCTTGCTTGAGGCGCCGCAAAAAGACTTTCCTTGAGATTCCATCCGAAGAAGGCTCTAAAAGAAAAAACGTTTCTAGGTACCAATTTCAGTTTAGTTTTGAGGGAACCCCACTGGCAACCTGCGTCGCCGAAGCCATTTTGGGCCGAATCCGAATCCGAATCCCTCCCGTTCCGAGGAGAGCAAGTTCGAGCGCCTCAAGGCGGAACAAGCGGGCTCTTCGGAGTTCTGGGGGTGGTGAAACCATGCAAACCCTTGACAAGAACTAGGGGTTCAAATTCAAATCCAAACCAATCCGAACCGCGAATTGGGAGCAACCTGATCTGAGGGGATCTCCGAGAAACAAAAACACCGCCACGAGCATATGATCCTTCTTCACTACTTCACTACTGTAGATGGACAAAATCCGCGCTGATCGGCACCGGGATTGGGATTGGTGGTTTTAGGGTTTCGAACTGGTACACTTCACGGTATGTTTTTATCTTTTCATGGTCTTGAAGTTTGACCTTTCGGCGTTTCTGCATTTTCTCTTTGGGCGAGGTTTAGAGGAGTAAATTGGGGACCCTCTTTCCTGGCTGTTCAAGGAGGTCAACTGTGCATAAAATTCCTGGATTTCCCTGCAATAGGAAACCATTGGTGTCTCGTGTTGGTCGTGTTGCTGCGTTTGCGCGTGCTCAACCGATTCTGCGAGGACATTTGACGGCTGGGAAAACGGGTGTATGCAAACTGGCTGCTTTGTCAGCCAAGCGTGACAGTCCGTCTGGATTTTTTGTCAGTTTGCGGCTGAGACGAAAAGGGTCCAAATTTGGCAAATGGCTGTCCATCTTTGCTCTTCAGGCTCGCTTCTAAATGTATTAACTTCCACCCTCACCAGGATGAGGGAGTTCTGAAACTAAGAGCGGCTCCAAAATCTGACGATCAGGGTCCGGCACAATTGGCAACAGACGGGCTATGGCCCACCTGAAAGGGACGCTGCGGAAGGCCGCGAAACAAAGAAAAAAAGGAGGAAGTGTTCTTCCAACACCGTTGCTTTCTTCTTTTTGTGGGGGGGGGGGGAGGTCTGAGGTCTGAAACCCCCAGTTTTGTATCTGGGGGGCGATCCTGGGGTTTCGGCATGGCAGACCGACTCATCGTCTTCAAAGCTAGGTCCCCCACTCTCCCAACTTTTTTGGGGGAGATTCGGTTCCCCTACTAAAATAGAACACAGAAAAAAAGTCGGGTACCGACTTATTTCCCCTACTAAAAAAGACACAACAAAAAAACATATGAATAAAAATCGGGTACCCTTATTCCAACCTCAAACTACTGGAGGACCTCGTTCTGAAAAAGGCCCCTCGCGGCGCGGCGCTGCGAGGCGAAGCAGCGCCAGGGCTATGAGAACGACCCACGCCCGGGGATCCGAGGGAACTGACCCGGCCGCGGTGGTGGGGTGGAGATGGAAGGCCAAAAGGGGGAGTCCGAAAAAAAGGAGGTCCGGGTGAAAAAGAGGGGGAGGTGGGATGAAGTTCGGATGAACAGGTGTTTTGGGTTGGAAGCCGAGCATTTTGGGGGTTCCCACCCTATGTTGAGAAAAGAAAGCCCAAATGGAGCTGAAAGAAATAGAATTGGAACAAGGCTGCTCCTTGGCGCAGGCCAAAGAGGAGCGGAACTGGAGGTGTGAAGGCAACTGCACATGCTTCTTCCAAGGCTTTTTTCTGGACATGGGCCCCCGGCGCCAGATCCGGGGTCGCTTTGGAGCAGAAGCGCCAACACCTCCAAGCCATACCCTCCCAGCGAACATGCAAGTGCACAGACCCCCTCTAGAAAGACTACTTTCCTCTTGGAAAGTGCCTCTTTGCACTTCCATGTTAGTTGCTGGGAGGGTAGCAGTTTGTTTAACCTTGTGTACTTGCTGCAAAGTTTCTCTGGAGACAAGCCTGCATGTTTGTTGGCCCACGTTTTCAGGGGGGGGTGCTTGGGCCATTCCCATGTTTTTGATCCCACTTTTTCAGGGGGGCCTTTAGCTTCCCTCCATAGGCCGAACTCAAGCGACTTGAGGTGCAGAGGAGCGGTACAAGGATCGCAGCCCTGAGCAGTCGCTCGGCTTAGCTCCCGGCCTCTCCGGAAGTATGACTCTACCCAAAGGGGGTCCAGCGCCCTAGTTTCCAAACAGTCCAAGGCTGATTTTCAAAAAATAAGCTTACTTAGGTGATATCCCCAACAGCATGCGGTGCTCTTTTTAGTGCGCACCACCCCGCAGCCCTCGCAGAACCTCGTGGAACCCTCGTGGAACCCTGGTGAACTCTGGTGGAACCTGGTGGAACCCTTGTGGCACCTTACCTCAGGGCCGACCCGGACCACCCCGGAGCCTATCTGGGCTGAGACCCCAAAGCTTTCAGCTGTTGGGGGAGAAAAAAACTCAAGGGTGTCCAAAAGTATCGCTTGGATTCAGAGATACGGCGAAGCCCTGGTGCGGGGGAGTTTCTCGAAGTCAGTGTACCTCAAACATGGTCCCTTTGCTTTTGGTTGCTCTGGAACAACATCGAGTTTCTTTGGGCTTCTGCTAAGTTTAATCTGTTGGTTCATATGATAGATCACGGTGAAATCACAATACTTGTATATATATATATATAGAGATGCATGTATATGGACTCTATGTATCTATATATATATATATGACGATGATTCAGAGGGCCCAGAATGTCGGAGAGCCACCGGTCGGCCACCATGAGCATATGTCTTGGGCATTATTTTTTTGGGGTTATGGTTTGGCTCCAAGCCTTGGTTTTGAATGTTTGGTTGGGGAAAAAACCATGTGACTGTATGGCTCCAACACCTTTTGATGGAGTCTGGGGGCTTGGCTCCCGCATCGTTTTTGATCCCAAGGCCGTACAGGGACGACGACCGCTACGACCGGAGCGACCGTCGCTACGATGACCGCAGGGAGATGCGGGACGACCGGCGGGACGACCGGCGGGACGACCGGCGGTATGATGACCACAGAGACCCCCGGGACGACCGGCGGTATGATGACCGCAGGGACCCCCGGGATGACCGGCGGGATGACCGGCGGGATGACCGGCGGGATGACCGGCGGGATGATTGGGACGAACGTCGAGAAGAGAAGAAGGAGAAGCCAAAGGCGGGGGTGGGGGGTATGGGGATGCGGGGGTGAGCTGCAACAGTTGCCTAGCAACTCTGAGCACGCAGGGAACATTGGGCACCCTTTCAATGCATTTGGCGCAACAAAACAGACATAGATGGCATAGTTTGCTTGGCACCGGCGCCTTGTTTGGCTTGAGGCATTGCGTTGCCGAGCGGGCGATTCCTGATTTCTGATGGTTTGTACCGGTGCAGCTCGTGGAAATCAAGTCGATCCATCAACTCTGACATGGCGAAGATAGGCTCTTGCAATGGTTCAAGTTGGGTCGAGTCTGCAACTTTGCAACGTTTCGTTCTGATCCTAGTTCCAATCAAACTGACCTTAAAAGGACACCTGTGGTCCCGACATGTCACCTCTCTTCTGCGACTCTGGTAGTCTCAGCCGGAGTTGGCGGTGGCCAAGGATGTTGTGTTTTGCCAGGTTTGATTTATCTACCGCCATTAATCTTCCCAGAAACGGACACTTTGCATGGCATGGATTGTTTTTTGTTTGTTGCTGACGGATCTCCGACTCAGTCGCTGCCCGGCTCGAGCGCGGCAACCGGCCATGGCCGGTCCGCTGGGTCAGCTGCCTGGACTCATCTGGGACGGCGCGCGCCAGCGCTACTTCGCCGCGAGCGCCGCGAGCGCCGCGCAAGGCGACGGCGCCGGCGACTCGGATGACCGGGAGCGGCACCAGAAGCGCGAGCGCGAGGTGAGCGTGGAGCAGCTGCCGGTGGAGGCCGCCGTGGCGAGGAGCCTCGAGGTGCGGCGGAGGTCGAAGGGAAGTTGCGCCATCTGCATGGAGAGGCTGGATGGGCGGAATCTGCGGCTGCCGTGTCGCCACAGCTTTCATGTCACTTGGTGGCTCCCAGCCATCCGGTTCCTTAGCTTTTGAGCCCTTGAGTGTTTACTATTCAACCCACTAAAAGAACAACTTTTAGCAGGGGATCTGAGGGCAGCCCAGGTCAAGTGCCTGAGCCCCTGGATGCAGCGAAGGGGAAGCTGCCCCAGCTGTCGGGCGGCAGTGGATGCTGCGCTGCACGCCGCGCAGAAGTCAGCACGGGAGACTTGGGACGGGACTGAGGAGACAGAAGCTACAGAGACACAGGTGAGCGAGACCTAGCACTGCCCTGGTTTTTGTGGCCTGGCAAAGTGTACATAACGTGTCCACTTGTCTTGCTGGTGCTCCCCTTAAATGAAACCCCAAGGGCTGGTTTACAAGGGTCATTCCCTCATTCCCTGCTGAGCACCAGCAAGTTGTTTGGTAGCTCCGCAACGAAACGGAGTCTGCTGCTTCCTTATGCCATATGGAAGCGCACGTGTTTCGAGCTTTCGTCTCAAGCTTTGGGCAACGCAGGGGCCAAGTCCGTTCGGCAATTCAGCGATGCCCAGAGCACTTCGCTTGACTTGGCTGCAGCGAGACAAGTGTGCGTTGTGGAAGCACATTGCCCCAGTATTCTCCAGTCCTTTATTTAACACACAGTGACAACATGGCAGAGGTGAGCGGACGATTGCTTGCACGTCATTGAGGCAATGATTGGTCGCAACTTCATCCCTGGTTGCCGCTTTTGCAAGTTTGCCGTTTTCTCAGCAAAAATGGAGAAACCGGAAAGTACGGAAAGCGGCGGGAAAAGTACTGAAATCATAGGAACGTTTGCTTGGAGATATGCGCACCTTTTGATTCACTCGGCTTTTCGGCCCATGAGCATGACAAGCTCCAGTGCCAGGGCCAGAGCTGAACGTGATATTCACGTGTACGGACATTTCCGTACTTTCGGAGGGCCAGGTCACTTGCTATGTACCTATCAACCATCGATTTTCCGTTTTTCACATTTGCCAGGCACCAAATATATGCAAGCGTAAAAACAAAGCAAACACTATCAACAACAAGCAGAACCAGAGACACATGTTCACACTTGCGAGTAGCACAGCTAGGTCCCCCAGCTAGGTGCCCTTTCTCACCCCTTCTTTGGTTGGGAGGGAGGGTTCCCCCTACTCAAAAATAGACGACCGAAGAACAAAAAGTTGGGTACCCTAACCTCTAACCTCTCAAATCTGGAGGACCTAGTTTTCAGGAACCCTAGAAATTCCTACTCTCAACCGCCCCATTTTCCTTGTACCTACTCCCCTTACGGACGCAACATGACGCTTTCGCGTAGCGAGCTTCGTGCCAGGAGACTGGCTTCGTGCCTCGCCTGGCCCGGGGCCCCGCAGCTGCGAGCTCCTTCTTCAAGGGGCGAGTTTGAGGGGGAGAATGGGCCGATTTGGATCTAAAAGGATTCAAAAAACGAAAAAAAAGAAAAAAAGAAAAAAAAAAAACACAACAACAAAAAAGAAAAAGAAACAAATGAAACAAACAAAAACAAAACATGGTGTGCCCCAAAGATGGCACCTCCAAAGATGGCGGGTCCAAAAGTGGTGGGTCCAAAAGTGGAGAATGTCGTTTAGGTGATTCGTGCCAGCCAATTTTTGAGGAGGTCCCCCACAAAAAATCGATAGCCAGGAGGTTCTTTCATGGGGGTTATAGAACGGCCGATGAGAACCTTACCAAGTTAAGCATGGAGAACATCCTGTCGGTATTCTTAGAAAGGCTGGGAAGTTTGGAACACTCCTTTGCAAAGGAGTAGATGAAGGTGAGGGACAGTCCCAATCATAAATGCGAGAAAAAAAGCAGGCTCTTGTAGACTCCTTCAATGCCAAGTGTTGATTATGACTCAGATCTCGCTGTGTTGGTTTCATGGATCTGTGTGAAACCATTCCGGGCGGCGGTCTTGTTCCTTGGTGTGCATGTTCCAACGCCATTGGTCCAATGCCGTGGGGTAATTGTTTTGGGCTGCTACTGCGTAGAAAGAACTGCTTCGGCGTCAAGGTCCGGGCAATGAAATAAATACATCTCCCGTTTTTTTCTCGGGTCCATTTCTGAGATTCCTATTTTGCTTGCTGGTGCGATAGGCAGGGAACGAGTTGGAATGACCCTTATGAACCGTGCAACTGGTGGTTTCCCTTAAGGGGACCCCTGGGTTCATTCCCTCATTCCCTACTGAGCACCAGCAAGTTTAGTTCAGTTGGTGACTGGCAGATCAGATGGCTTGAGGCGCGAACGCCCCAAGCTGACCCATGACACATCAAACCAGCCAGCGGTCGCTCCGAGCAAAAAAGACCCGGAAGAATCCGACTTGCGCCAGAGAATCCGCAAAATCTACGTAGCTGGCCGCGTCCGTTGGATTCCTTGGCCTTCGCATCTCATGGCTGTGCAAATGTTTGATCCCGGGGACCTGCAAGCCCGTTTGCCCACGCAAGTCGAAACACCCGAAAAAAAATCCGCCCCGGTTCTCCTCTACGTCGCTTGGCGCTTGCGCTTTGGGCGCTAAGCACCCGGCCATGGCGGCCGCGGCGCCAGTTGCGCGGCCCGCGCCGGCGGCGAAGCCGGCGTTGGCGCGGGCGGCGAAGCCGGCGGGCACGAGGCACCCCACGAGGCGTGGTGCGAAGAGAAGGCTTGACGCTAAGCAAACATTGGGGGGGGGGGGGGAATGTCACTACTGACTTCCTGAGTTCCAAGACTTGTTTTTTTTGGTGGGTTTGGACCATTCGAGTGGCAGAAAAAGTGAGTTTGCACTCTTAGCAACTCCACTTTTGGGAGGTGAGCTGATGGGACAAAGCTGATTCGCCAACGTGTGGAAGTCGGTGGATGTGCAGACATGATCACTCAAGAGCTTGCGTTCCGCTGGCGTGATGGGAGCGAGTTCAGGGACTTCACTGAAAGGATAGTTTTCGCCTTTCAGCACTCACCCTCCAATCGTGAGCTTCCATGAGTGTCGGTGCTGGTGCTGGTGGTAGTGGTGGTGCTGGTGCTGGTGCTGGTGGTGATTATTGCCAGTTTCGATGGTCGTGAGACAAGCGCAGTAGATGCTTTGCAAGTCTGGTCTAGCAAGGTGTGCCGTATTTGCTGGCTGGAAACCTTGCCAATGGATTTCGGCAGCGAAAGCTTTCCCTCCCAACAAACATGAACCCTTCCGCATTTGGCTTCGTATTTCATCCCTTTCCAGTTGACTGGCTGGATCGGCTCCTCCATGGGCTTCAAAGAAACATTGAAGCAATGGTTGGGTTAGTTTTTCACCACCATGTACCTCAGAAGTTTCATCATCTAACTTGGGGATGGGGGTTTAAGCCCAGGTTTTTTGGTTAGGAACCGGAAAAAGTCAGGATCCAATCGGCACCTTCGCGCGAGAGGCTGCTGCAGGCCCGAGTGGGATGGCGCCAAATGAAGTTGCCCTTCCCATGTTACCATGGCACCTACGGTAAGATCTTGTTTTTGCCTCTTGAAGGAATGGATCTTCCTGGTACAGGTGATATGCTAGTGGGAGAAGGTGTAGTTTTGGAGAGGGTTTGCCTATTTTGCCAGGTGTAGGGCCTGCGTTTGACCCAAGGGACGGTGTTTTTCCTGAAAAAAAACGACAAGCTCCTAGCGACTTAGGCTGTGGTGGCCTGCTGTGTGGCCAGAGGTTGGGAGTTTCCGGTCAACGTTCGAGGTCACGTTGCCAAGCGTCGCCGTGTTTGCATGAGTAAGGAACGGGAAACGCGCTGTGCTGCAATGTGCTGGGCTGTAGTGTAGTGTAGTGTGGTGTAATGTCATGCAATGTAATGTAATGTAATGTAATGTAGTGTGGTGTGGTGTAATGTCATGTAAGGTAACGTAACGCAACGTAGGGTAGCGTAATGTAGTGTAATGTAATGTAATGTAATGTAATGCAATGTAATGTAATGTACTGTAATGTAATGCAAGGTAAGGTTGTGTAATGTTGTGTAATGTAGTGTAATGTAGTGTAGTGTAATGTAACGTAAGGTAATGTAATGTATGTAATGTAATGTGATGTGCTGTGATGTAATGTAATGCGTGCAATGTAGGACCTTGCCAAAATCAGTGATCACCAATCAATATTTTTTTTTGTTTCATTTGTCGGGAGATTGTCGTCGCCTGTTTTCCTCTAAAACGGGCTCCAGAATAGATGCCTTGTTTTGGGACAGGCCCCCCATTCTTGATGCGACTCCCATGTTGCCAGGCGGAACCCATCTGACACCAGCAGAACCCAATCCATTTTCAGCCAAACTGACCTCAAAGGGACCCCTATGAACCAAAGTCCCATGAAAAACCCGAGGTGTGTAACCTAGATTGGCAACAAGTAGACCGAGCGCTGGCCGTAGGGTTTGCTTCCATTTGCTTATTTTCTTCCCCCTGTTGGTTTTAAAGGGAACCTATGACTACTTGTTTTTTTCCAGGGGGCTTAAGCAAATGGAAGGTTTGCGGCCAGGCGCGCTCTCCCAAAGCTCCGCCCGGCGGCCGCAGACGCCGCGCGCGGCGACGGCGCGGGCCCCGGAGGCAGCAGCTTCGCGCCCGGGCGGCGCCGTGTGCCGCGCGCGGCTTCTGCGGGCGGCCGGGGCCGGTGCCGCGGCCTCGGGGCGTGAGATGCGGCGGCTCTGCGGGTTTTTGGGGGACGGGGTCCCGCATTTTTGACCCCATGTTTGGTGGATTTCATGTGGGTTTCCCTTAAGGCCACCCGAAAAGAAGTAGCATCAAGAAATGACAGACCCGTATCTTAGTTTCTACGCATGAATCCTGTCATGTCCTTGGCAATCGGAGATATGGATACCAGTGATAGGCTAGGTCGCGTGCCTCGTGGCCTGCGTCCTGCATTCTGGTTGGAAGTCACGGAGTCGAAAAGTTCTGTGGCCAAACGACGCGGTTTTCTAAAAAGGACTCGATGGGAGACAAAAGCTCGGGTTTCTTTACCCGAGAGTGGAATGGTTTTCCGGCTGCTTGCCTGCTTGCGGGAGTTTGAGGTGCAAATTGGAAGCGGAAGCACTTAGACTGGGAAGCTGGGAGCAGAAATTTGGACAAGTGGATCGATATGGGTATGGGTCAAAATTAAACCACCAGGGGACCACGGGTTTTGGTCCATGTTTCCACTTACCAGGGGTCCATTTGGGGTACCTATTTTTGACCCACAGCCATATGCGAATGAGAAGCTCTTGAGCGCGTGCAGAGACAAAATAATCATGCATGCAGATTCACAGCCCGCGCGATCAAGATGGGCTCGTGGAACGGACCCCTGCTCAAATCCGTTTCTTTTCGGCTTGCTGTTTGGATGCGACAAAACCATAGGGCCTAAAGTGCAACATGTGGTATTTGTTTTTTTCATGTGTGCATGTTGAAACCTCTTTTGGGCACGGGCAGAACATATGCAGTGAGGCCAATGCAGGTGTTCAGAGTTCTGCCAATTCGATGGCGTGCTCACCTAGAGGGAACACAAGCTCACCATTTTCGGGCTTTTTTTGGGCATCCAATTCTTATCTCAGGCTTTGGTGGCCATTGTAAACAAATGCAGAAACTGGATTCGGTCCTGAGCGGCTGCAAAGTACCATATGTCTAGGGATTGATTCCCAGGGTTGTGGGGTCAAGGGAAGGTTATCCAACCACTTCTGTGCAAGGGAATCTCCCATTTCTTTTTTCGGAGGGTTTTGGGAAGCCCGAGTCTTGTATCACAGATTCCATTTCCCACAGCCCTGTTGATTCCAATTCCATTCTTTTCAACTTATGGTTCTGTTCCAAAACCGATCGCCGGTCTCCCGGGATTTTTCTGAAGGTTCTCGAAGGATTCCCTTCCCTTTCCCTGGGTTCAGGACTCTGCATGCTTTCTGAAGGTTCCATGGGGTCTGAACTCAGTTCAGTGGCACCAATTCTTTTTCCCTTTTTTTGGTGGCTGCCCCACGAAAAATGGTCTTCCCCAAAAGGGTCCCCTTTTTTTCCAGGGTCACTGAAAAATTGAGTGAAGGCTCTTCTCTAGACAGAATGGGTGTGGCTCAAAAATAAAGACCCAGGGTTACGCAGGTTATAGTCTACTTGTCCATTTACCAGGGCAACCCATTTTGGGGTTGCCATATTTTTGACATCCACAGCCGAACGGACATGGAAGGTACCAATCAGACTACGGCTCGAAGCCCCGAGGCCTTGCCCGTCCTTGCGGATGACTGCCAGGCCGCACAGGCCGCAGGCTGGTTGGCGAGCATCGCCGTGCCTTCGCGTTCCACCGCACAGACAAACAACAACCGGGTTGTGGGATCAAGGGAAGGTTATCCCCACTTCTGTGCAAGGGAATCTCCCATTTCTTTTTTGGAGGGTTAGTCTTTGGGAAGCCCTTTTGGTTGTATCACAGAAGTGGATTCCATTTCCCACAGCCCTGAACAACAATGGCTGTGGCTCAAAAGAATTGGAATCCCCAAATGTCACCAAAAGGTATATGGGACCAAAGACGAAGACCTGCGGTTTTGCCCGAGCTCTTTCATTTTGAGCCACACCCATATGCTGAGTGATGAATGTACAGAATCCTGTTTACTAATCTCGAAGATAGATATTACCGTGTATTTATACCGAACCCGGCTATAAGTGAGCAACTGGCTTCTCTTCATTTGACATCTGACCCAGCAATTTGGGTCTCAGCCTGCCCAAGGCCGAATCATTCGGGAGATAGCTCCTTTGAACTGGCACAGGCCTCGAAGTTTCGCCAACACAGAGCACATGTATTTGTTCCAAAGCAGAGCGCAGCGACCACCAAGAGCCTAAGGTGTACAAGCGACAGTCGTAACGTCGTATCCTTGGCCGACCAACAAACCTCAATGAAGTTTGGAGTTTATATTAATATTATCACTCAGCCAAGCGTCAAACCAACTCCTAACTCCCCTTGCTTCCTTCTCTCCCAACCTCCAAATCCTCGAACCTCAGAGGCCCCCCCCCCTCAAGCTCAGCTCTTCCCTCCCCCACCGCCCCCAACCCCCAGCCGCCGCCCAAGACGCACCTCGACCCCGCGCCATCGAAGAGGCGCGCTGCGCGGCCGCTTCGCGGTGGTCACCGGCGCCCAGCGGGGCATCGGCAAAGGCGTGGCGCTGGGCCTCGGGGAGCGACAGGCCACGGTGTTCCTCACCGGGCGCAAGAGGCCGGCGTGGGGGGGGGGGGTGGGGGCTTGGGGGTAGGGGGTGGGAGTGGGCTGGATGGGTGTGGCTTCGGGGTGGGTGGGGGCTTGGGGGTGGGTCTTTTTGCCATCTTTTGTGAGAAAATGGGCGATTTCCTGAAAGAGGAATCACTACAAGGGGGTCGATCGTTTTTCCACCAAAGGTGGCAAAAAGACCCCCCTGGGTGGGTGGGGGCTTGGGGGTGGGCGGGTGGGAGTGGGGTGGCGCTAGGTGGGGTGGATGGGTGGGGTGGATGGGTAGTGGTGGCAGAACACCCTCCTAGAAGTTAGACCAGGCCTTGTTCATCCACGTGTTGCCATCCAGTCATAGGGTCCCCCCCACTTTTTGGCACATTCTGAATACACCCACTAAAACAACCCATTTTCAACCTTCAAATCCAATCACCCAGCCAATCCAACACCAAACAACACGTGTTCTCATACCCATCTTCATTTCTTACTCCATCGCAACTTCAGCCCTACACTCATTCAATAACAACAATCCAAACTACATACCACCTCAACAAATCCCACCCGAAAAATCGAAGCTACATACCAACAAATCTTCACTCTCAATCTCCAACCCGCAAAATCTCAATAATTTCTCCCTTGATCCAACTTGACACCCTTACCCATTTCCAACAAATAAGAACAGTCTAAAAAACAACCCTATGTTCACTCCCCAAAAGTGGTTAACCAATAGAAAAGGGAATATTCTAACCGTTAACCCGAATCTTGAGAATAATCTGTGTAAATATGGATGGCACCATGCGGATGAACAAGGCTATATTGGATAGATGCTCACCGTCATGGCTCATGTGTTGGCGGCTACAATTGCAACAGACGTAGGCAACAGTTCCAACTGACCAGGGCGACCGCTCCACCTGACATGGGGGCGACAGTTGCCACTGACTTAGCAACAATCGCAACAGCCCAAGAAATCCGTTGCAACTGCCCTAGACTTCCGGTGCAACAGCCCCAGAAATCCGTTGCAACTGCCCTAGACTTCCGGTGCCACAGATTTTATAGGTTTTTGTTTTCCTATACACTCAGCAGATCATAACCTTGCCAACTTCAAACTCATTTTGTTTGCTTTGTTGTTTCCTGATCTGCCTTGATACTTCTTTGCGCGTATTGTTCAGATATGCCATGTTGCTATCAGGCCCTGCTATACCATCGGTATATTTAAAATACTTATTGATGAACTCAAGTAGTGGCACCTGATGCTCAAAGATGTCGGCATATATGTTTTAAAGCTTGTCGTTGTCCTCCTGAGTCTTAAATCGCTTACACTCTTCCAGAAACAAATGATGGGGAAAAATGCTATCAATACATTCATATAAATCTCGTGTTTCTTGGTGTTAGTCAGTTCTTTTGTGGGGCTCAATTGCTTGGCGTCACCAGTAGCTAATATGACTTTGTTAGCCCTAAGGTTGCTCTACGTCCTTAATTTTTGCCAATACAAAGGTATTATTAAAACAAATCTCGCCAAACACAACAACATCATAGATTGAATGATCATACTTCTCTAGTCTCCTCATTGACTGTACTGCAAAACTTATTGACAGTCACACTCCAACCACTTCGCACTCCAACCCCAGATTATTCGTGGGCACTACAAATAACTTTGAGTCTCTCCATGTTCTTGCATATGGTGGTCTATGTTAGTATATCATGGACAAAGATTTGAAATCATTGTTTGACAAAGTGGATTTAATACTGATGCAAAATAAGAGCATATTAGAAATTCTGCATGGTATGGGAAAGAAACCAGCATCAACTTGTATTGATAAAAACAGCACCGAATACACAAATAAGAAACAGGTGTATTTGAATAAATTGAACAATCAAGAAATCAAAGAGCCTAAAAATAGCACTCTCAAATTTTACAACGTAGATTATGATGAGGAAACAGGTGATTCATAAAGGGCTTAAAGGGTAAATACCCTATTATACAATGACTGACCCAATAGAAGTAAAATGCACAAAATGCAACATAACCAAGAAGGTAGAAGAGTTCGGATTAAAAAAAAGATAACAGCCTATATCAAAACTGCACGAATGCAGAAAGAAAAGAAGGGAACAAAAAGCAAAACAACAGAAAACAAGACCAGAAAAACACGAAAAGGAAGTCATTGATCTAAAACGATTACAACAAGACTTATCAGTTTACACTGTAGACACCCCATTGTATGACGATTATATAGTATGTCAGTACATTAAGAATGACGTTTTTGTATATGGAAACTGCCAAAGCACAACCAGCAAAAGAAGAAGAGCAGCAGAATATCGCACGAGAAATTCATAAGGTAAAGCCCTTGATACCATAATTTTACTATACTTACAACATGTAAGATCTTATATGTTGCAATTGTAAGGTTTTTGATTGAACAATTTTCCCTAAACAGTATTTAAAGAAATATTACCTAAATGTATTAAGTAAAATATGTGCACATTTTATCATTTGCCATTGGAACTTAGATTGAATATTATGTCATATAACTGTTGTGATGTACGTCCTTACAGATACAAAGATATTCTAAAAAACCATTTTCCAACTTCAAATAGAGTAAAACACACTTTCTGGGCAATGACTTTAACTGAAGCATTAGATGATACCAAATCTGATTTTGAAATATATTTAGAATTGAACGCATTCTACAATTATTCCTACATGTATGATATTGAAAATAAGTCTAAACAGCTCTGCTCATTGACAGTACTGATGACAAAAGAGGAAATTTGAGAAATGGTTACTACCATGCTATGAGAGCACTCTTAGAAATGATGCCATACTGTGGCAGAATGGCATATAGGATTTTATCACATACTAAGCACGGAAGACTTCTACGACGAGGATGAATAATTTAGTGATAATGAAAGTGTCGCCAGTTATTATTGAGATGGATGTTTCAACTTCTTGATCATGTTATAGTTACAACATGGTAATTGTAGTATAATTTTCCTGCATAAGCCGTGGTGGTGCCTTCCTACCTAGGCCTTGTTCCCATCCGGATTTTGCCATCCATATGTACTGGGATTACTTTCTTGATTTGGGTTAACGGTTAGAATTCTCCCTTTTCTATTGGTTAACCACTTTTGGGGAGTGAACATAGGGTTGTTTTTTAGACTGTTCTTATTTGTTGGAAATGGGTAAGGGTGTCAAGTTGGATCAAGGGAGAAATTATTGAGATTTTGCGGGTTGGAGATTGAGCGTGAAGATTTGTTGGTGTGTAGCTTCGATTTTTCGGGTGGGATTTGTTAAGGTGGTATGTATATAGTTCTGATTGTTTTTATTGAATGAGTGTAGGGCGGAAGTTGCAATGGAGTAAGAAATGAAGATGGGCATGAGAACACGTTTTTTGGTGTTGGATTAACTGAATGATTGGATTTGAAGATTAACAATGGGTTGTTTTAATGGGTGTATTCAGAATGCACCAAAAAGTGGGGGGGACCCTATGACTGGATGGCAACATGTGGATGAACAAGGCCCGGTCTAACTCTAGATGGGCGGTTTCAACTTTTAGTTTCCCTTCAGAAGAACAGGCAGAAGGGGGGCATCGTGGGATTTTCACTTCTTATCCCTTTCCAAACGCAGACGAGTCCTCCAAAACCGGTCTGTGTACTTCTATGCTTGCTGGTTGGAGCTGAACCAGAATTTCCAGCTCTGGTGTGCATGGTTGATATTTGGGTGTGTCCCGGAATACGGAAGGGCCCTTTGGCTTCCTTTCAAAACCACCGCAAAATGGGTACCATCAAAAGAGGCGCCCGGAGGGTACATCTTTTTGAGGTCGTTTTACGATCGCTAGTTTTGGCGGTCCTTCATGTAGGAAATTAGGAATTTGTTGTCAAAAGCGACCCTTTTTCAATTTTCAGGACACCCTTTGATGGTTCCCCTGCGATTTGGTGGCCGCTGTCCACCTCCACGATTAGAAAGGACACACATCAGGATCCCACAAAGAAGACGGGATACCATCGGGCACCCCAAACTCAAGATCAGATAAGGAACCCTCCCTGGCTGTGGGTTTCTCGCGCTGAGGAGCGCGCTGGAGGCGGCGGCGGAGCTGGTGACGCGCGCCGGGGGCAAAGGAGTGCCTGTGGTGTGCGACCACAGCCTGGGGGCCCAGCAACCGCCATGGATGCGAAGCAATCGGAGGGCAAGGACTTTTTCTCAGTCCGAAGGTCGCCTTCTCACCTTCTGGGTTTTTGATACTGAGAAGGTTCACTCAGTCCAAACGTCACCGTTTTCACCTTTGGGTTGATGTTCTAGTCCTACCAAAACATGCGGTTGGGGCAACGTGAGTATCCCTCAACTGCCATTGGATCATGGACCATGCAAGTGACGAGACATGTGGATTTTGCTCTTGGACGATATCAAGAACCATCTGACCCTTGGCGCTTGGTCCTTCATCAAGGCCACACGGAAAGGCTCCTGGCACGATCCCCGGAGCACACCGCACATTTGTGCTTCCCATGGGCGCATGCGTCCGTACGCAGAAGCTGATGGCTCGGATAATCAGGATGGTTCCAATTACTTGTTGGTTTTTGTGAGTTTCCATGGAATAGAATGACATCAGACAAATAGTTGGTCAGGGTCAACCATCGTTCATTAAGGGCACGGACGGACTTCACCCTATCAAATACTCCAGAGGAAACTTCGCGTCAAATGAATGCAAGGCGAACACCCTGCTTGACGCTCCTCTGGTAGAGTCTTTGAGGGAAGTCAACAGTAGTTTAATCAGTGGTGAGCCAAAAAGGTTAAGACCAAATGGCTTAGCAAAGTCTACGACTGTCCCCTAGTCGAACGTACACCTACCCCATGTCTTGCAGTTCCCGCGAAAGCGCGAGGTGACGACGCGCAGGTGGCGCGCGCCTTTGAGGAGATCGGCAAAGCGAGCGGCGGGAAGCTGGATATCCTGGCCACGTGGGCCGAATCGAAGGGTGCGGCGGCTGGTGGAAATTGTTAGAAGAACAAAAATGATGCCAGACCGCCCACAGTCCCATGGGTCAGAATTTTGATAGGGGTTTTCACCTTGAACAAGTCTTTTGCCAGTCAAATCGGTCAGAACTTTGATAGGGTTTTTTCACCTTGAGCAGTTGTTTGGTGGCTTACGAATGGGGCCATGGTAGATTCCGATTCCCCCCAAAAAACGGCACGTTTTTACCCTTGGAGGTTTGATCCGTCTCGAGGGAAGCCACCAGGGGCAATGGAGGGTTCCCTACGTGGCTAGGACATGGGCCCCGATTTGCATTCGTTCCGGACATGTTGCTGAAGCAACGTAGCACGCACCGAACGGGAATTTGCACGGGAATTTGCACGGGCACTCGCGTGGGATGCAGGCAACTAGGCAACTGGTTTGGATCGATCCAAGCCTCTCTGCGGAAGCGAGGGGCTGCTTTCCTACTTGGACCTGACTTGTTTGCTTTTGGGTTTGGCGTTGACACCGAAGGAGCTCTGATTGTCGCTCAGTTTCGACGGGTTGTCACCCCTGGGTCTTCTCATGGGGGTTGCTGCGGCCAATTTTTGCGGGAAGCGCCAGATCCATGAGATCTCTGGAAGGGGCTGGGATGCCATCAGTTGCACGAGGAATTGAGTGAGAGGGTGCATGGAACAAACAAATCGGTTGTCCAAAGCCGACCTGTTCAAGGTCCTTGAAGGTTTGGCGAGAACCCCCCGCATCATCTTTTTGATCCCAAAAGGCGACCCTCTCTCGATCACGCACCGGACCGGGCTTCTCACTCGGATGGTTCGCCATGTTCAGAGAAACCCAAAGACCTTCTGCCAGTCGTGCTCAGGATTCCGCTCGATGCTTGAAGGCTTGCAGAGAAAGTAGTCAAGACTGAGACTGCTTTCTGTCAAAGAAAAGAAGATCCCAAAACGCGACCCTCTCCTGATCAACGCGCCGGGGGAAAAAACAAATCCTTCGAGGTGAACAACGCCTTCAAGAGTCCGGCCTCCAACAACCCTGAGGCGTGGGATTTTACGCGGGGTACCACCCATTTAGTCCCCTGATCGTTTGAGGTTCGGGGTTCTTAGGGAAAAAATGGCTCCAAACCAGGACCACCACCCCCGGGGAAAAAAAAAAAAAAAACGCCAGGTCCCTCATGTGAGTTGGTGGAGGCTATGAATTGATTGAGTTTCACCGGGGAACCGCCCGAAAAGTGATGGATGGACATGAATCCCCGCCCACATGAAGTCCACCAAACGGTCCCCCCGTTAAATTGCATACCCATATACATATATGGCTGTGGGTCAAAACCAATGGTACCATCTTGGGGTGGGTGCACCACCCATTTCAGAACCTATTTTAGTGTGGATTGGGATTTCACTTGGGGGTACGGGAATTTGACCCATGGCTATATATATATATATATATGTATATATATATATATGTATATATATATATATATATGTATATGTATACATACACATATGGGTGTCTGGTTTTTCTTCAGGTTGGCTCCCCCCCCATTCTGACATAAAGCCGTATGAGCCATGGGACAGATTTGCGGTTTATGCCCCTCAGGAGTCAGAGACGAGCGCAGCTGAATTGTAACGGTGCCCAAACCAACCGCTGAAACCAAGACCTTACTGGCGGCTGAAAACAATTGTTCCCAAAAAGAAACACCCTCAGGCATGGGTTTTAGACAGGTTTCAATCTGCAAGACCCGGCTGTGGCTGCCAGCTGACTCCTTTAAGTCCGAAACTGAAAGCCCCTCAAAGCACCGGGGTTGCTCTGTGCCAAGCGGCTGTTTGCGCTGTGAACATATCACTTTTTAAAAGACCCCCACCAAAGCAAAGACCGTAACACCCGGGTCTTGCCTTTGCAGCCTCCTGGTCTTTTCATGAACTCCTGGACTCTTAGGGGACAGGGCGGGGGGCTCTCCCTGGATAAGCCAAGGAGAAGGCCTTAAGGCCTTCTTGCATTGAGGGGTTAAGGGATAGGGGAATCAGTCCACCTGAAGAATAAGACCAGGTGGAACCCAATCAAATACCCAGAGCTACAGCTAATGGCCAGGTCAAAGGCTTGTGGAAGCCCCCCCAATTCCTCCCCCTCCCCAGATCAATCCCCACCCAAGCCCCCCCCACCCCCAGTTCCCCCTCCCCCCCCCCAAATTCCCCCCCCCCCCCACCCCAGTTGCCCCCCCCTCCCCAGTCCCCCCTCCCTCCTCCCCGTTCTCCCCCCACCCCCCTCCTCCCCAATGATCTCTCGCCAGGTGGACGCCGCCTTGTCGCGGGGCGCCAAGTTCTACGAGCTGCCGCTCTCGGTCTGGGACAACATGCACGACGTGGGCCTGCGCTCCCACTACGCCCTTGGGACCCGATTTGTTTGCGGCACCTGCATGCCAAGAAACGTGTTTTTTTCTTGTTCCTGGTGCGTTTTGGTTTACGCCTTTTGGCCTTTGGGGATAGGATGTGTTTCCTCTGGCGCGTTTTGGTTCCCACTATGTTTTTGTGTTGGCTTGGAGGGGTGATGTTTGGGCGGATTTGTTTGCTTTGCGCAGGAGTTTTTGGCGATTGCTTGTTGGCTCGGTGTTTGCAGATGCCAAAGAAGGGGGTTCGGAAGTCATTTGCACCTGAATGCTCCCTTGAACTTCTCATAGGTGCTCCGTAGTTGCACACTGACAGACTGCTACGTAGTTGCACAGTACAAAAGAACCAAAATGCAAGCTGCAACCAAGAGTCAACTGCCAACTGACCACAACACAGCCAACGACACCCAACACGAAGCAAAAGTCAGCTAGCAACACGCTACAACTGACAAGCAACGCATACAGCAAACGTCACTCAGCAAACGGCACACAGTAAACAGCACACAACAAGCAACTCCCAATAACACATCACAGCAACAAACAACACTGAGCAAAGCACACACACACAACACACAAATAGCACAAAACTGCAAATAGCACAACACGGCAAGTCACTCATACAAAAACAAGCAACACACTCATCAACAACCAGCAAAACAAGCATACAGCAGACAAAAAGGAAGCCAGCAACCAGCAACCGACAAGCAACAGAGGACAGCCAGCAACCAGCAACCGCTCACCAAGCACGAGCCTTCAGATAAGCCCAAAAAAGGGATTCCCGAAAAAGGCAAAGCAAGACCTGAACTAAATCTTGACCCGCCCGACAATCTTGTCACATGCTTCACTCCAGTGGCTATGAATTTTAATGGGGAACCCCCTGAAAAGTGATTGGTGGACATACATCCCCACCTAAATGATGTCCACCAAAGGTCCCGAACTAAAAATCATACTCAAGTGGAGACCCATCTTCTCGTCAAGCTCACGAGGTGTCTTCCTACTATGCCGCGCCCCTACTGCTGGCTGCAGCTCGAGGTGAGGTTTCCAGGCGGGACTTTCCGTGCTTCATTTTGATATCAAGACAAGGGGACGCCAAGGCTTGATTGGGTCTTTAGACTTCAACCTTCTTGGGACATCAAGGGTTTTCGATTTAATTTACAAAAAGCTAAACATTTTGCAGAGGGTTCGACAGCAACCAGGAACAAATGGGCTGGTTTGCCCTTGTGTTTCCCTTAAGCACCATACGTTCTTTCAGCCAAGGTAGGCGCAGATACCCAGCTGTTGATTTCCCGTCATTGTAGGGCTTGGCTTTGTGGCAGGGGAGTTGTTCGGTTCCTGAGTCTCCCCGGGCTGAGCAGAACCCATGTCGCCCATGGGCGTTTGGATCGTAGGTGTCCTTTTAGGTCAGTTTAGTTGCAAGTAGACGGACTCCACTGGTTTCAGTTGCCAACATGTAGCACTGCAGTCTCTTTGTTCCCAAAGGACACCCCGGCTTTTGGGCAGGCAGGCGGGCAGGCAGGCAGGCGGTCGGCAGGCAGGCGGGCGGACAGGCAGGCAGGCAGGCAAGGAAGGCAAGGAAGGGCCAGGCAGGGCACGGTTCTTGTCATATGACATGGTCTACGCGGAGATGGAGTGCATAGACAGATTGTGCGGATGGATGCAGACTCGCTGCATGGAGACGCCGCAGAAAGATTTGGAGAGTTGTGGCGCAGAGAGACCGCGTCTGGAGATTGGGCAGAGACATGGCGCAGGAATGTTCAGACATCGCATGAGCAGTTGCGCAAAGCTAGCGGAAACGATTTGTTTTGTTCGTTGCGGCACAGTGAGGCCAGGCCTATCTTGTCAAATGCGTGGGTTTGCACAAAAGATCGGGCGGCTCACCCTCCTCGACAGCACAAAAGCAACTGTGCGACTGCCCAAGCTGCCCAGATGTTTGACGGCGTGCATAGTGAGCTGCAATTCGGGGCTTGAACACTTTTACCAGTTGCCCAGTGGTGCTCTTTTTTCCTTTTTTTTTGAATGGGACGGCTTCCCTTTAAACTCAGCCAAAAAAAAAAGATGTCCTTTGTTCCCCTAGCCACTGGGCATCTGAGTTTTGTTGTTCCCCTATGGAGCAGATGCCCCGCCCTACACAGGAGGCCACTGCTGTGCGCGACCTCCTCCTTTGGTGGTGTGACTTGTCAGCAGTCTTGGGGGAATGATATTTGAGCCATGGAAAACATATTTGTGTGGGGCATGTAGCAAAGACGGTTGACACAGGACGTGTCAACAGATTGGCCAATCACGTGATACAAATGGCTGAGGTGGTGCTCTTTGACATAGGTTTAGAGTTGCCATCTTCAGACCTGTTAAAGCAAGGTGGATGACACGGCGAAATATTTTTGTATTGACGAGCGTGGGGTTTGTGCTGCGAATTTCTACCCACTGGGGTCGTACCCCTTCGGCTAAGTCTGGACGCTTGATGCCCCAACCTCCACGCAGATGATGTGTCTTGGGCCCCTCAGTTGGTTTCAGCCCCGGCTTCACTCGGGCCAGAAAGCTCTTTTGCCAAGCCTGTGAGCTGCCTTTGGCACTTACTTGTCTTGCGCGAGCAAAGGTGTGGACAATCTTTGTTTATTTACACGCTGACGCGACACAGCCGGCCACCGGGCACCCCTTCCCGTTCTTTGATTTCCTTTCCCTCCAAGTCCTGCTAGTTTTCGGGATGATTTGAATGAACTTTTCCTTTGCATGTCTTCCCTGACAGTTTCCTGGCATGTCCCTTCACTTCCACTTCACTGCCGTTTCAGCTCCCTTCATTTCCTTGAAGACTCCTTTATTCGCATTCTGTCCGGTCCCCTTCACGTTCTGCCCTTGCATTTTCCTGCATCTCGGTTTCTCTCCAGTGCCCTCCCCATTTTTCGTGCCATTCCTTTGACTTTCATTTTGTTCACTTCCAGTCACTCCTGCTTCCTTGCATTTCCCCTCAACCCCTTGTTTCGCATCGCCAGCATGCATAGCATCATCTGCATCATCCGGAATGATGCTGGCAATGCTGGGGGTGTTGTCCAGTATTAGGCACCCCCCAAGAAGCGCTCGTTTTGTGACTCTGCGGGGAGATGCTACAAAACTCCTCAAAAATCGCTTAAACAAATCCGCAAATCCTTCGCCCCTTATAAGGGAGGGCCCAGCATAAAACGTATGCGCATGTTCTGGTCATGGTCCGCGCATGGTCGGCGGCATGGGGCGCGCGGCCTTACACCTGAAGGTAAGCCCTAACGGGCTTTGGCCTGCGGCCCGATCACGTCCGGTGGCCGGATTTACACGCTGACGCGATACAGCCGGCCACCGGGCACCTTGCCCTGCTCGTTCTGTACTTCCCTTTCCTGTAAGTCCGATTAGTAGATGTTAAGGTTTTCAGATTCTAAAAACTTTGAGATTCTAAGGGTCTCAGATTTGAAGACTGTCGGAATTTAAGGTTTCAAGGGTTTAAGAATTAAGGTTTTAAGATTTAAAGTTTTTGAAGGTTATAACAGCCAGGCCATTGCCCAGCCATTTTCCATCTATTATCAGATTTCGAAGGCTTTAAGATTTATTTTCGGAGATGTTCAGATTTGGCGACTTTCGGAATTTAAGATTTTAAGATCTCAAGATTTCAAGGCTTCAAAGTTTCAAGATTAAGAGTTTAAGGAATTTCAAATATAGCCACGACTGCAAATGAGAACATGAGAGTCCCGTCCCAGAGACTTGCACGCTTGACAACAAGCACCCCAGCGCGAGCCCTCGTGCAAACTGCCCGACTGCTACAACCACAGAAGCACGCTAACACGCGAAACCCACACGCGTAGGCTGCAGCATCACGCATGCGTAGACCGGAACCATGGCGGAAGTTGCCCGAAGTTGCCCCCAGGGCGCTTCTCAGTCATGTGCCTGTGCAGTCAGGGAGACGAAGCAGGAGCCGCGACTGCAAACGCGCTCGAACGGGTGGAGGCGGCAAGTTGCCCACAGGGCGCCTCTCAGTCATATACCGCTTCAGCCATGGAGAAAAGGCGCTGGTCGCGCTAGCCGGGGAGTGCAGGTTGCAGTTGCTTCCGTTGGATGTCTCCCGCCCTGTCACTTCATTTTCCTGCATTTGAAAGTCGCTACTCGTTATCTACCTGAAAGTTGCCCGCAGGGTGCTTCAAGAAGTGGAAGGAGGGCAGGTGCCAGCCCGTCAAACCCCGTCCTTTCCTCTCCTGTCACTCGAGCCCCGTCCATGTTCCCATCCATTTCCAAGCCATCCCAGCTGTTTTCTCCTTTAGTGTACTTTTTTTGTAGTTACCAGCAATCATCCACAAATGCCTATTCATCTTCCATCCGTTTTCCACCAGGTCCACTCCTTCCATACATTATTACGCATCCATTCTCCAACACTGTTCCACCCGCTTCCACAAGCTGCCAGCAGTGTCGCCGTAAGAGCAGTTTGGCAGTTTCAAGGGAAGCCGATGGAAGCTAAGGGGCGCCAGACAACACAAGCAGACTGAACACCCCGCATCTGTTGACCGTGCGCGGCACAGCGTCGCGAGGCATTTTGCAAGCGTAGTTTGGCAGTTTTAAGGAAGGCCGAGTGAAGCCAAGGGACTCCAAACAACATGAGCAGATTGAACAACCCACAGCCGTGCAGCGCGCGTGGCCACGCGCTTCGCCCTTTTTTTCTCTCGCGCACCAGAGCGTAGCTCCGGGCGCCTGAGTGTCCCAGTCCGAGGCAGTGTCTGCTGCAAGTGAAACAGAGGGAAGCCGAGTGAAGCCAAGGGAAGCCAAACAAAGCTAGACAACACGAGCAGATTGAACAACCCACTCCTGTCGACCGCGCGCTGCACGCAGGGCCGTGCCTAACCCAGGCAGGGTCGTGGCACAAGCAACGTCAGGTGTCACACAGCGCCTGAAAAATGTTCGTCGCACAAGCAGCAACATGTTTCACATAGCAGCCACCAAGAATGTTCATCGTGCTTGCAGCAACACGTTTCACGCGGCAGCTCGTGATGACGTTCGCCGCAGAAGCAGCAACATTTCTCGCGCAGCAGCTTTCAAAAACATGCGTCGCATCAGCAGCAACATGTGTCACACAGCAGCCACTGCAAACGTCAGTCGCTCAAGCAGCAACATGTGTCACGCAACAGTCACGTCGGACTAGCAGCAACATGTATGACGCAACAGATTCGTCGCAGTAGCAGCGACGGAACTTTTTTTTTCGTCGCATAGCCTCGCAGGCTAGTTGCAAGAGACCAAAAAAAAGGTAAGAGTAGGAAGCAAGGTCCACTTCAGCAACAAGCCCTTGGCTTGGCGCCAGGTGGTTGGAAACCAGCTCTGTGGGCAAGCCAACCCTTGAACCGTTTCAGCCAAGCAAAGCGCCTCAAACAAACCTGTCGCTGAGGGCTGTTTCAGTAGTCTTGTGTTTCCTCAACGCGGCGCGACTCTTTCACTGTAAGACACGAAAAAAGAACGTGAAAACACCCTGAGAATGTCACATGTTGTGCATTATTGCCTACAAAGGCAGGGCCGACTTGCGGTGTTTTATTCGTAGCAGTTGCAGCTCGCAGCTCAGACTCGTTCAAACTCTTAGACAGCTGGAGCCGCACCTGAAACACGCCAACAGGCGTCAGCCACATGCGCATAGTCAAGCATCACGCGCGGTCTAGCGCCGGAAGAAGGGGAAAGTTGCCCGCGGGGCGCTTCTACATCACTCGCGTGTTCGGCCATGGGCAAGGAGCTGCAGGCTGGCGACAGTTGCCCACGGGGCGCTGGGAACTGATTTAGCGCGCATGGCAAGCGGGGCTGGGCACAGAGCCGGGGGTGTAGTCGTGGCAGTTCCTGGAGATGGCTGGTGCCTCTTCCATGCGGTGGCAAGGTACGGGGCCAGGCCTGGAGCAGGTGCTAGGCCGCGCTGGTGTCTGCGTGCTGCAGCGGAGATCTACTTGCAGGCGCTAGAGTGGCTGTGGGCGGCGCTGGCTGGACCAGATGCCGCAGCAACTGAAGCAGCTTGCGTGCCAGAAACGGAGGCGGAGTTGGAGCGACACCGAGAATTCGTTCGACGGCGCGGCGGCGTGGAGGCACAGGTTCCAGACGCCAAGCTGGTGCTGTGGAGTAAGGTGCTGGCTGTGGTGGAGCAGCCCAACTGTCTGGACTCCTTCCATCATGGGACCAGCGCAGAATTGTGGGCGCTCACCCAGCAGTTCGACTTCGATGCTATAGTATGGAGCGGCGTCCCTGACGCGAACTACTGGGCACGAACTCAGACTCGTGTCACAGACGCAGAATGCCGGACGGCAGTGGCTCGGCTCCCGACCGTGCTGCAGCTGCTGCACCGAGAGATCGGCAACGTGGGGCACTATGATCTGCTCGGGACCGATGCCGTGTCTCCGCAGCCGTTTGCGCGGACACCTTGGGTGAGGCGGTGGGCCGAAGGCGGCAGTGAAGCCATATGGGAAGTGCTAGGCATGCCAAGGCGGCCCGAGCGCATCCAGGCTCCAATTCCTGAAGCGGAGGCGGACGTCTGGTCCGAGCCAGAAACCAACAGTGACGTGCCCTTGTCAGACAAAAACTCTAACAAAATAGACATGGAAACCGCTAGTGTGCCAAGGCGGCCCGAGCGCATCCATGCTCCAATTCCTGAAGCGGAGGCGGACGTCTGGTCCGAGCCAGAAACCAACAGTGACGTGCCCTTGTCAGACAAAAACTTTGACAAAATAGAGATGGAAACCGACAGTGTGCAGTCGTGGGAATTGGAGGATGCCAGCGACGAAGCTGAAGAGCTCGGCCCGGTGGCGGTGGAAGCCAGCAAGACGTGGACCACCCTGGAAGACACAGACATCCACCTTGCCGAACAAGTGGCATCCCTGCTGCGGCCGACGCCGCTGCTGCCGCCGCCGCTCCCGGCCTGGAGTGCCAGCATGTGCGCGCCTGCCTCAGGAATAGTCTACCCCGCCGTGCATTGCGCGTTTGCAGGCTGCGCTTGGTGCAGCGAGATGCAGCCGTGTCAAGAGGCCTCGGGGCACGCTGGAGCGTGGGTGGTGCCAGACTTACACTGGACTCGCCTGAGTGGCAACTGCTGTGGCAAGGCGAACACGTGTCTCTGGGCTCACTTGGCCGCGTGCCACTGGGACAGCCTGTGTGCCGGCCAGCCAGGGCAGGAGTGGTGGCAGGCCAAGAGCCGG